GAGACTTGATAGGGAATGTTAGACAGGCTTGTTCCAGCAGTTGTTCCTGCATAGTTATGGTCTGACTGCTGTGTTAATAATGGGTTGAGAAACGCTGAGGTGTTGCCTCAGTGCTCACACCTGCCTCTCTGGACACGCCTTCCTGCCGCCACTGCCAGGCTGTGCTGGATGTCAGCACCTGATTAACTCACCTGAGCTGGTGCCAGAGGACAGTTGTCTTTATTCAATTTTTTAAGAGGCCCAAGCACAAAAGGAATTGCTCTTCCTAACCTTCAGGTACTTGTGACCAGCAGTTAAGAGGCACTAACAAAACTCACCAATTCAAGGCCTCCAAAGTAACTATGAAGTGAGGTGCAAGGCTGCTTCCAGCTGAACTCTTGGAGGCTACAGTTGACCAAATAACTGCAGAAAAAGTAAATGGATTCAGTTGATTTGCCTCTATACTGCCCGCTCCCTCCAGCAGCATGGAGGAGTCCAGGCCACTGACTGAAATTCCTGCTCCTTGGCTGCTGTGGGAGCGCTGGGACACTGGTAGAGCAGCTATAGACAAGCTGCTTTGGGCAGGGCAGTGCTTGGAGGGCAGGTGACCCTCATCTCTAGAGCTGTGTGCTGGGGAGGAAGAAGCATTGAGACAAGCGTTTGTAACAAGGGACTTCAGCACTGACATTGATGCAGTAATATCTGTTCCCAAATTCTGCCTTCACTGCAGCTGGGGATATGTCCACCCTCGGCTGCTTGGACTGCCAGAGCTCTGTCACCATTTGGCTGAAGGATGGGTGGCTGGGACCAACTTCTTAAATAATCTCTTCATTTTCAAGAGGCAAAGCCCTGGCAAGGTAAGAATGTACAGACCTCAGAAATAACCTGTTTGGTGTGGAGCCTCTGTTGACCACGAGGAGCCTCCTGTGCTGGCATCCAGTGCTGACTGAACATGTTCAGGCATGGGAGGTTGCCATGGGAGGTCTCCCACAACACCGTGGCTGTTAGGTGGTGGGGAGGAATGGAAAAGCACAGGCAGAATGATCCGGTTCTAGAGGAGGGAGGAGAAAGTGAGGCCACTACTTAACCTTGGAAACTCACTGTCTCCCATGTCTTCAGTTTTGCCTTCTAGTGTGTGGAGTCTTCACTTTCCTGGCTGTCCTTGGCCGGTATATCCCTGGACTCTTGCTCTCGTACTTGATGTGTAAGTAGATCTCTGTGCCAATACAGACTTACGTGTGAAAAGAGGGATCTGAACGTGTGAGGGATGGGGCTCCTCTGCGCAAAAGGAAAGCTTTTGTGTGAATGGCTTTAAAATTTAAAATAATACATTCTGCCTGGAACGTGGCCGTTCTTAACCAGGACTCGAAGTCTGGTCTGGAAAGAACATGTTTGAGTGCTTAGTAATCACAGATCTGAGCACTAACTGGTTGGCCTCTCAATTTTGTTAAATTGGCAGAGGCGATGGCACCAGTTCTCACAGCCTCCTGCAGCACTGCCCTCAGTGCCCAGACCTGCCGTGCTCTGTGTGTCGTGCTGCATCACAAAACGGGCAGGATGTTTGCCAAGCAGCATCCTGACCAACCTTCTAACGTGCGTTCCCACTCACCCCAGTGCTCCTCGTCCTGCTGTGGCCCCTGGCCGTGTACCACCGGCTGGGGCAGCGCATGTACCTGCGGCTGGAGCCGGCTCTGCAGCGGCTGGACTTCAGCGTCCGGGGATACATGATAGCCCGGCAGCGGGAGAGGCAACGTGAGTGCTGTGCCATTTCTGACCCCTCAGACCTTGGTCCTTGGTGCCTGAGATGGGCTGTGAATGGAGCCCCTCGGCCCTGGCAGGGGGTAGGAGTGCATGTCTGGCATGGCAAATTCTTGGAGCTGCCTTGGGAAGGGAGCGAGGCAGCTCTGCCTCCACAGCCACCTCCCAGGGAGCAGCTGCCGTGGGCTCTTCACGGCGCTGAGCTGCTCCAGTTCTCGGCTGCCAGAACTCTGTGTTCCATGTGATGGTTGCGCAGGAAAAGGAGGAAGGGTTCAGTGCAAGGGAGTGCTAAAACATGTTCATCTCGGCAAAAAAACCTGCCGCAGCCGCAGTCAGGAATTATCACAGCTCTGCTGCGGAACGGAGCTGGCTCTACTGTCCAGCTTGGGGTGTTGTGGTTCTGCACAGAGCCCTATCCCAGCAGCAGTAACAGCTTTGGCTCTGGTTTCTGGCAGTGCGTGCCCAGGCCCTCGGTCAGGAGCCCACGGACGATGGGAGCGACAGTGAAGAGGAGCTGGCTGCATTCTGCCCCAAGGTAACGGAGGGTCTGGGAGAGGAGAGAGCTTGGCTGGACAGAACAAACAGAGTAGCTGAATGTGATGGGAGAGCAGATGAGGACATTCCCCTTCCAGAGAGGTCTTTCCCACTCTGTCCCCACTCAAGGATGTCCAGAGCTGCTCATGCCAGCTGCAGGCTCCTAGGCTGGGCAGTACACATGAATGAGCCTTAGGTAGCAGCCTCCTGTGAGGGCCGGGTTTAACTAGAGGCCACTGGATCATCTATTTTGTCTTGGGGCACAGGAATAAGCTCTCCAATGCTGATGTTTTCAATTTTATCTCCTATTTCAAAGCTGGATGACTCTCTGGTCGCCAAGGAACTGACCATCTCTGACTCGGAGCATTCAGATGCTGAGGTTTCCTATACTGAAAATGGGATGTTTAACCTTTCGAGGGGCCAGACTCCCCTGACAGAGGGATCAGAAGGTGAGAGGAAATGGGCAGCTTGTGGAAGGTGTGGAATGCCAAACAGGCGCCAGTGTGACGGATTGGAGGGCGGATGTGTTGTTACCTCATGTCCTTCAGGTCTGGCTCTTTGATGTCAGCCTTGCTGCTGCAGATGAGCTACAACTGCCTGTTTTGTTCAGAGCGTCCTCCTTCATTCCTGTGGTGCTTGAGTAGAGCGACAGCAGCTGCTCTGCAAAGGCAGATCCAGCTCTGCCAGTCTGACTGTGGTCACAGAAGCAGTGTGGTTGGGGGTGTGGGTGCTCCCCTCTGGCAGGTGGCTGGTTTGGCACCCGCATTCCTTGTGAATGAGTTGGGAGATCAGTGGGATCTGAATAGCTGGGATGGGGAGGAGGGCGAAGTTGAGGAGCGTGTGGTCTGTGAGATGCCAACAGTCTGCCCTGGGGAGGTGCTGGCCCAGCTCCTGATGGAGCCTGCGGGTGCTGGGCGAGTGCCAGCATTTAAAGCACTTTCTCCTCTTCCAGACCTGGACGGACACAGTGACCCAGAAGAATCATTTGCCAGGGATCTCCCTGACTTCCCTTCCATCAACCCAGAAGCAACTGGCATAGATGATGAAGACGACACCAGCATTGGGATCCCAAGCCTGGCATACCGCCCACAAGGGACAGAGGATCTGCATCTCCCGTACGACCAGGAGGAGTCTGGCGCGCTGCCGTCGGTGCAGAATCTCACCAACAACATCGCTGGCTTTGTCACCAGGGGGATGATCCAGCTGGCACTGTCAGGAGCCCCTCAGCCAGGCTCCTCACGCAGCACCAATCCCCAGAGGGGGGCAAAGACTCACCTCAGAGCAGTCAGCTCGGACTTGGACACTGATGCCGAAGGGGATGATTTTGAACTGCTGGATCAATCTGAGCTGAACCAGCTGGATCCTGCTGGCTCCCGAGGCCAGTAAGCCATCCCATCACTTCCCTCTGGTTTTCTATTGCGCGTCACGGAGGGAATCCTGGAAGGAAAAGCCTTGCACAGTTCTCTCAATCGTCTCCTGTGAGTCTGAGTGACGTGACAGCCAGTCCTGGCTGGGAACATCACTGTGACTTGTGACTCTGTAGCCTCGCTTGGATTTTAAAATAAAGGACACTGGTAATCCCTAGGGAGAGACATCGATGGGATAGGTCCACAATCACCCTGTGCTGTCTGTCAGGATGCTGCCTGCTCTAAACTTCCTCACCTAAGACAATAAATGTGGTGTCTGCAGCTCTCGAGGCCGGTGGGACCGACGGCATTGCCAGGGACAATCGTGCACTGACCTCTGGGGCTGATGCACAACCAGGGGAACAGGACGGGGCCCTTCAGGCTTGGTGTCTGGGACTCAGTGCAGTTCTGTCTCAGACAGCCATTCCCTGCTCCTAAAACATTCACAAATCCAAGTCTTCTCTCCCAGCAATATCCAGCTCCAGGTGGAACCAACCCCCTTGCTCCACTGTGGACGTTGTGCAGCTGCAATGTTTTCCTTGCACTGGCCACTCCCTCGGCTCCAGCTCCTCCTGATGCTGTTTTTTAAGAGCTCAATGGCAATAAGACACCTGCTGTGACCACCGGAGTCCTGCAAGAATATCCACGTGTGGCCCCTGCTCTTGTGTTGCTTTCCTGAACTAACAGCCTTTCTTGAGAGCCAACTAACACTTTGCTAGAACCCCCTGTGCTCCTACCCTCGTGTTCCCGTGGGCAGGGCCGAGGTTTCCTGGAGGAGGGAGGCAGTGGGACAGGGGTGCCTGGGCAGTCGTGTGTCCCTCTAGCCCTATTGTGTCCAGCCTTGTGCAGGCAGAATCCACGGACAGGGGACACCAGCCTGGGCCTCCAGTGACTGAGCAGCTCATGCCCACTGCGGTCCCGTGAACAAACCAGCAGCCCCCGGGGAGAGCCGCCCCTGCTGTGCCCGCCGAGCTCCCCCCCTTGCTTTTCCTAAGCCATAGACCCGGTTCTGATCACGTTTGTGCAGCCAAGAACGTACCTCGGCAGGGACCCCGTTACCGGCTGCTGTTTGTCTGACTTCGCCTGCCCGAGCGCGTCCGCCGTGCCGGGGCCGCGGCCAGGGGGGAGGCGGGGCGGGGTGGCAGCCTCAGACCCGGGAGCGGGGGTCGGTAACGGGTTATTCCCCACGGGGCGCGTTGCGGTGCGGAGCCGGAGCGCGGGGTCTGCGCTGCTGACGCCGCGGCGGTGGGCGCCCGCCCGGGGGGCGGTGGGCGCCCGCCCGCCCATCCCGCGGGGGGCGGGGCTTCACCGGAGCCCCGCCTCTCCGGGGCGCGGCTGCCCCGCCCATCGGCCCGGGCGCTGTTCCCGGTTGGACGGAGCTTGCGGCGCGCCGGAAGTGCCGCGAGCGGCGCCAACCGGGAGCGGAGCGGGGCGGGAGGAGCGGGATGAGCAAAGGGCGCGAGGCCGCGGCGGGCGGTGAGTGCGGGGCGGGCCGGGGGAGCCCCGGGCGGTGGGTGCGGGAGGGGGGAGCCCCGGGGCGGCCGCTGCGGTGCCAGAGGAGGCCGCGGTGACCGGAGCCGGTCCCCCAGGAGGCGGCGCCGCCGCCGTCCTGCTGCGGTACCTGCGGGAGCAGAACCGTCCGTACAGCGCCCAGGACGCCTTCGGGAACCTGCAGCGGGAGCACGGGCTGGGCAAGGCGGTGAGCGGGGCCGGGCTGGGGCGGGGCGGGTGCGGTCCCGGTCCCTGTCGCGGCTGACGGCGCGTCCCCCAGGCCGTGGTGAAGGCGCTGGAGCAGCTGGCGCAGCAGGGCCAAGTGCGCGAGAAGGCCTACGGGAAGCAGAAGATCTACTTCGCCGACCAGGTGAGCCCCGGCCGCGGGCGCCCTCTGCCCGCTCCAGCCCCACCTCTGCCCGCTCCAGCCCCACCTCTGCCCGCTCCAGCCCTCCCTGACCACCGCTCCCCGCAGGAGCAGCTCCCGGCCGCCAGCGATGCCGAGCTCCGCGGGCTGGACGAGGAGATCACTGCCCGCTCCGCACAGCTGCAGGCGCTGCAGCAGAGCTGCCGGCAAATGGAGGCGGGTGAGTGCGCCCGGGCGGCCCCGCGGGCTCAGGGACAGGCTCAGGTCCTGGCTCTGCAGCCACCGGGAGGGCCCCCAGGGCACAGCTGCCTGTGCCCTGGTGCCGGCTGGCAGCCCGGCCGGTGAGTGGTGCCGCCTCCCCAGAGCTGAAGGACCTGAACAGCTCCATGACAACCTCCGAGATGGCCAAGGAGATCGAGGCGCTGAGGAAGGACTGTGCCAGTTACACGGAGAAACTGGAGAGGATTAAATCTGCCACCAACCACGTGTCTCCAGAGGAAAAGGAGAAGGTAAAGAGCTGCCGGGGCTGAGCCTGGCGCTGGGCTGGGCCTCCACCGGGATCCAACACATCTCTGACGGGCATTCCCAACGTGGTGCTGTTGGCAGGTGTGCCAGGAGCAGCAGCTGTACCGCCGGGAGTGGCGCCGGAGGAAGCGGATGGTACTCACTGGGGGCCTGGGGTCGGTGCTGGCCCTGCTGGGACAGGCCCCCCACAGCCCCTCACATGCCCTGTCCCGTCAGGCCACCGAGCTGCTGGACGCCATCCTGGAGGGGTACCCCAAGAGCAAGAAGCAATTCTTCGTAAGTACCGAGGCTGGAACCTGCCTGGGGCTGCTGAGCCAGGCCCTGACCTGCCCTGACCCACCGGTGCTGTACAGGAGGAGGTCGGGATAGAGACGGATGAGGAGCATGGCGTGGTGCTGCCAGCGGCCCTGTGAGGGGCTGGGGGAGCCTTCGCCCCGGGGAGAAGCTGCTGCTGTGGAGCTGCTGCTGAAACTTGGCTGTTGGGTTGTTCTGTTTCTTTTTTTGCAGGACCTGGGTTCATCCCGTGTATTTATGTGTTTAAAAATTCTTTTGCAGTTGGAAGGGTGGTGGGTGGGAGAGACTTGGCACTGGCCCTCTCCTTGCAGAGGGATGTTGTTTCTTCCTGCCCCTCAGCACAGGGAGCTGCCAAACTGGGGTCCAGTGGGGCTGAGGAGAGGTGTGGGGGCACTGGTGCTGTGTCCCTGCTGTTCTGGTAAGAAAAGGGATGTGGGGGAGGTGGGGGTCACTGGTGCTCCAGTATGGAAAGAGTGAGGGACTGTCAGGGCTGCAGAGCTCTGTGTGTGACCCAGCCCGTTCTCGCCCTGTGCCTGAGTGGTCACACAAAAATATGATCCATTAAACACCAGAATTTTGGTTCAGCTGTGCTTCCCTGTGGTGTTTGTCTGTTCAGAGGGTGTTGGGGCAGGGTTTAGGTCCTGAGGGGTGGGAAGGGTGGGAGCCAGCAGAGGGTAACATGAACCACAGAGGCTGGAATGGGCTTCTGGAAACTATTGGCTCTAGGGCCCAGCTCTAGGAACACAGCAGCAGAAAAATCACTAAAACATTCAGCAATATTTAATTACTTTTCTCAATAGAAAAATACATCACTTTCATGTGTGAGGTCTGTAAAACTCCTCATCCTCCTCCCAAGGCAGGAAGCAACACTCCCTCCTCAGCTCTGGGAACAAAACAGCCTGAAATAAACACTCCCTGGCTGTGCCCCTGGAGCAGGAGCACAAACATGGTTATGGAGAACAAATCTCACTATACCATTACTCTGGGCAGTGACCAACCATCACCTGGGCAGAGCTGTGACCCAAACTGGGCGTGAGACAGGGGCAAAGGTGTCCCTGAGAGCAGCTGCCTGCACAGCTGGCACTGGCAGCACTCCAGGACCGTTTCAGTGATTTACAAAAATAAAAACCAAATCAAGGCTGGTCATGGATGTGTGCGTATAAAAATTCTAAGGAGGGGCAGCAAGTGCATGTGGCCACATTGTGCTGCAGCTGCAGAACATTCTGTGCAGCACAGCCACAGCCAACCCGAGAAGGAGCTGGATACAGTCCAGCGCTCGCAGGAACTTCCTGTGTCCCTACCAGGGAACCCACAGCTGCAGGAGCACCCTGGCACTGAGGGGCTCATCCTGCTGCCAGCACACCCAGAACACAACAGCTGCTTCAGAGGGAGGGGGGAGACAGCCCAGAAGTTGGGGAGAATCTATTCCTACTGTTTCACCAGAAACCCACCGTTTTTAGCACACATTCATCACATTTCCCCAGCCGGGGTCAGCGGGGCTGTCGGAGGCCTGAGGGCACAGAGCAGAGCTGCTCCAGGGTCAGCTCTGCAGGGAGAGTCAGTGGCACAGGCAACTCCACAGCACTGCCTGAGCCAGAGACTCTGCCCCCAACTCCTCTGCTCCACATCCTCTTCGCCTCCCCTCTTGCCCAGTCCCTACCAAGAGTTGGAGCAGCCGTGTCTGCACGGCCGCCGTTGGGCTTCGGAGGGAATACAATAAATAATTCAGAAAAGCTCAAAAACAGCCACGAGGGAGAGGGCCCAGGAGGGTGCCTGTCCCCCAGGCCCCTGGGCAGGAGGTGCCCCGTCCCCACGGGCACAGAGGCGGCGGAGGAGGCTCAGTAGAGCTGACTCTTCACCTGGTGCAGAACCCCGATGACAACGTCCTGCAGCGTCTGCAGCAGAGAGGGGACATGGTCAGTCAGTCCGTAGGCAAAGAGTTGCCCCCATGCCACTGTCTCTCCTCCTGGGCCATGGCACCAGTGCTCACCTGGGGCTTGCAGTGCTCCTCGATCCAGCTGAACACACATGCTGAGAGCTCCTGGAAACTTGTTACAGAGATGGAGGCATTGAAGGACTGGAACAGGGAATCCATGATGCCTTGGAAAACATTGAATTTCACCTCATCAGAGACCTGGTCCTTCCCCTCGTTTGGGTTGTCTTGATGAGCTTTCACAATCTGCTCATAGTTCCTGAAACAAGTATAGGGCCTCGAGGTCAGCGGTGAGGCGTCTGCACCCAGCTCCTGCTCCTGGTTCTGAGCTCCTGCTCCCAGGTCCCACACCCAGCTCCAAGCTCCAGGCCTGTTCCCAGCCAAAGAACCTCTGGACGACCCCCTGGCAGCTCTTCCCTGCAAGGACATGGGGGAACAGCAGGAGGAGGGCACGACCCTGACAGCTCTTCCCTTACACTTTCATGATCTTCAAGGCCATCACATCTTTCCTGAGGGTAGAAACTTCCTCCTCCTGCTTCTTCTTTTCCTTGTGCAGGAACTGGATGTAGTCAATGGCTGAGCATGAAAACACAGAGTGAGGATTTGGGAGCACACACAGGCCCCTGAGACTCCCACAGGAGGTGCCCAAGCAAGGGTAGCATCAGCTTCTGCTGCCCCAGTTCCCCTGGGGCACAGAGGCAGGTGCAGGTGAGCAGCACCTGAGCTCCCCAGAGCCTCATCGCACCACAAGGTCCCAAGGTGCTGAACTCTGCCCTGCACAGCTCTAGGGAAGCATTCTGGGAGATTGACAGCACCTCCTTCCATCTCCCCACCCCTTGGGACTCACTTTTCTGGAGGACAATGGCCTTGCTCAGCTTCTGGGAGCCGATGGAGAAATCCTGCTGCTCGCAGGTGGGGACGATGGCCTGCAGGTCATCGTAGCCTTTCTGGGGGGAAGCAGAGCCACAGCGCGTGGAGTTCACCCTGTGGGGCTGGGCCCACACCCAGCTCCCACCACAAAGCCCATCAGGGCCAGGGCAGCTCCCAGTACACGAGGAGCCTCCTGGAGAGGGCAGATCCAGCAGCTCCACAGGGGTAGTGCTGGGTGGGATATGGCTCTCCCCTCACCTTGATGGCGTCACGGCGCTTCTGCTCAGCCTGGGTGTGTGCGCGGCGGCGCCGGTCCTTGTACGACTCCTTGTAGGGCTCCTGGTGGTAGTCGCTGTCCTCGTCATCTGTGGGGACAGGGCACAGCCCGGGGTTGAGGAAGCAGAAGCACGAGGGGGCTGTGGCAGCTCCGGGCCCAGCACAGCCCCTGCCCACTCAGCTCCTGCAGGCTGGGCCAGGGACAGTGCCCCGAGGGGCCCCACCGACTTCTCCCCTGTCCCTGTGGAGCTGCACAGGAGGCACCTGCTGTTCCCACCACCTCCCTCCTCCTCCTCAGGGTGGGAACCCTGCCCAGCCCCCTTAGCGCAGGGCAGAGCTGGAGCCCGGCAGGTGCTGGGGCTCCCCCGAAAGCAGAGACACCGCGGTCCCGGGGGCCAAACCCCACCTGTGTTGGGGACAGAGGAGGCGCTGGTAGAGCCGATGCTGTTGGCCCGGGACACTATGCTGCTTTTCCGGGCGTTCTCCATGAAGAGCGCTGAAAGAATAGTGTCCTGGGGTTAGTGCCCAGCGCGGGGTGTCACCGGGCGCAGGAACGGGGGGCGTCCCCGGGTGGCCGCTGCCACCCTGGCGCGGGGGTGGCACCTACCGGAGTCCAGGCCATTGTCGCCGTAGGCCGCGTCCACCTGCGCGGGGCCGGTGGAGACACGTCAGCGGGGCCGGGCTGCGACCGCGGCCCGGCCCCCGAAGCCCCCCCGGACCCGCCCGAGCAGCGCCCGCCACCCCCGGGCTGCGTCCCCGCTGGGACCTCTGGCTGCCGCCCCCCACACAGGTATCGACCCTCTGCGCGCTCCTCGCCCCGGCGCTCACCCCGCCCGCCTGCCCGCCCTCCATGGCGCCCGCCCGCCGCCCCGTGGCCCCGGCGGCGCTCCCGGCCCGGCCCCACCTTCCCCCACGGGTCCTCGCCCCCGCCCGGCGGCTCCGCCATCTTCCGCCCGCCCGGTCATGTGACCGCCGCGGGGGACGACGGGAACTGCGCCCCGCCGCGCGCCGCCAGGGGGCGCCCCCGCCGTAGCCTCTGTGTGGGTGTGACGTCATGGCCAGGACACCGTCGCTGTGACTTATCAGTGACGTCATCGCCGCCGTGCGTCCCCAGTGCGGCACCCCCGAGCCCCGCAGCGCCGGGGGCCACGTCCATAATGGCAGCTGGAAGGGGCCGGGGGCAGCCCCTGAGCCCCTGTGGTGGTGGGTGGGGGGACAGAACCGGCAGAGTGACATGGGACCGGCACACGGACACGCACAGTGGGAGCAGCCTCTTTACTGGCACCCAGCAAGCCCTGCAGGGTCCCCCGCACTGGGGGACGTCAGGATGTCCCAGCCCCTCTGTGGAGCTGGATGGGCTCAGTGGGCTCAGTCCCGCGCTGCTCCGTCCGCCGGCTCTCGCAGGGCAGTGGTGGATACGGACCCTCCCGGGGCTGTGCAGGACTGCCCCTCACAGGTGGGGCTCATGGTTGGGCTCTGGGTGCAAGCGCTGCTGCAGCAGGTCCCAGGCCTTCTGCACCTGCCAGAGAACCACCCGGGGCAGCACCTCAGAGCCCATGAACCCTGAGAGCAGCACCTCGGCATGGGGTCACACAAGGGTCTCATGCCTCCTCTCCCTTCCCAGCTGCATCTACATCCCCAAATCCCTCCCTCGTGGCCGTGTCCAGAGGCAGCCTCGATGGTGAGAGCGCACCCAGGTACACAGTGCCCAGCCTGGGTACAGCACTGAACCCTCTGGTCCCCCAGGACACCCCCAGTGCTGCGGCACCCCGGGCTCACCTGCCGCCGGGTGACATCCGGCTCCCAGAGGGTGCAGAGCACCACCTGCGCCCACTCCACCCGCTGCCTGTTGGTCATCTGGCTCTGCAGCCGGCAGCGAGCGGCCTCCTCGCTCAGCCCATCCCTGGCCACGATGCGCCTCACGGCCTGGTAGGGACAGAGGGGACACTCAGAGGAGGCTGAGGACCAGCTCTGGCAGCGAGCAAGGGGCCCAGGCCATGGCTCACCTCCTCCTCTGGGATGACGGCCGTCCACACCTCGTGGACCATGTCCTGCCACCCGGCCTCCAGCAGCACAGCAGCATCCAGCACGCACACGGCCTTCCCTGTGGAACAAGGGGATTCCTCAGTGCCTGGCCATGGATGGAGCGATGGTTCCTTGGCTCTGGCCCAGCCTGGGCTCAGTTTCCCCCTTCCTGCAGCACAGACACTTCACTGCTGAGCTGAGGCTGCGATGGAGCCGCCCCCAGTACCTTGAGCGTTGGCCTCCTGGATCTGCTCCCTCGCCATCCGGGCTATCTCGGGCCACACAATGTCTGTCAGGCTCTTCAGCCGCTCCTACAAAGGACCAGGGCAGGATTCAGGATTTGGTCCCTTACCCTCAGAACTCCTGGGCAGCAAACAAGGGGATGGTGGCTGTCAGCAGTCAGAGGGCACCCAGGAAGGTGGGGGGGTATTACTTTCCTTGCCCTGCCACGCATAGCAGACCCTCAGCACCCAC